TCACTTTGACCCACTCTAATCTGGTAAGATCGTTACACGATAAGATCACAAATGTACCGTGAGCAATGAACATGACATAATAATCTAGTTACAGCCAATAAAGCTTCCACGTGGAACATGATATAACACTAATTACAAGGTCGCCGCCGGTAACATTACGTAATATGCTCACTTCAAGCGCTTGTGCACCACTTTTTCTCAAAATGGCTATTGACAAATGCATCATATACTACTTGTGCCTATAATGAGGCTAAAATGGTGTACTGGTTTAATCATTAAATCAGGACATATACCATTTTTTAATTTGTTATTAAATTAATGTTACACAAAGTGAAACATTAGTTCTGAGAAGGAAATTAAAGGATCAACCAGTTAAATATTTTTTTGAAACATTTGGGATGTCCAAATCCTTTAAAATCAAATATACTTAATGATAACATGGCGGGCAGCCTAGAAACCCCAATAATTTCGCTCCTTTTGTTACATATTCTTATCATAGTATAAATTGAGCTGTTAAATTTATCAAATATTTTATTAACTTGATACGTTTTCAGTACCGGATCTGGCGGGGTGGCAACAATCAGAAAATTTCCTCAACATAAAAATTCACAACAAACAAGTAACGGTTGAGAAAGTAGAGAAAGAGCAGGCTAATTTAGGGTTCTTCTATTCTACCACCCCGAGCTCAGCTGTACCTTCTACTACTCCTAATTCAGCACATGCGGGGATTGAAACAGGTGGGGTATTATATAAGATGCTGTGCCCTTCCCCACTCTCAACATGTCCTGCCCCAGGGCTTTTGTGCCAGGGTGTTTTACCCCAGAAATTCCCGCCGCTAAATGCCCCGCCCCGGGGTGTTTGCCTTAGGTTGACTTTACAGCAGTTTATCCCACGTTCATATCATCATTGTCAATATATCAGATAATGATGCCTGGAACAGCGCAGTTGAAGCAAGAAATCAGAGTTATAAAGGTCCGCTCTCTTTAGAAATGGAGGTTATCATAGAGTCGGCTAAAGGTATCCATGTAAAACTTGACGATAGACTAAAGAGGGTGATATCTTCCATTGATCAGGTAGCTATTGTTACCACGGTAAATTAAATATTATGTAGCTATTGTTACCACGGTAAATTAATTAAATATTATGTAACTACCTCTCTCTCTCTCTCTCTCTCTCTCTCTCTCTCTCTCTCTCTCTCTCTCTCTCTCTCTCTCTCTCTCTCTCTCTCTCTCTCTCTCTCTCTCTCTCTCTCTCTCTCTCTCTCTCTCTCTCTCTCTCTCTCTCTCTCTCTCTCTCTCTCTCTCTCTCTCTCTCTCTCTCTCTCTCTCTCTCTCTCTCTCTCTCTCTCTCTCTCTCTCTCTCTCTCTCTCTCTCTCTCTCTCTCTCTCTCTCTCTCTCTCTCTCTCTCTCTCTCTCTCTCTCTCTCTCTCTCTCTCTCTCTCTCTCTCTCTCTCTCTCTCTCTGTGCGGTCTGCGGATGCACTGTAATATTAACTATTGGTCCTCAGAGAATTGGTGTAGCGCCCAGTCAGGCAAGTCTACAAGAGCACATTTCACAACAGTGTAAAACATTAGGACTTGACGACACAGAGACAGAGGTTAAACCTAGGCTAGCTTACTATAACACACAACACAAGCTCATCTACGTGGCTAACCCTAAATGTGGTGAGTTTAGATTTCAGAAAAGTAATTTTAAGTAATTACTGCGGAGAATTATCTTATTATTTTTAATTTTCTTCGATAGACTGTAGTGGCAAAATCAGATTCCAATATAAACTGGTGGGCCAATTAATTGTTTCATATAACAGTAATAAACTTATTATCATCAGAAGGCAGAATTACTAAATTGCTATCGCCTAAGAAAGTTTTGCCCTCAACATCAGTTTTAAATTAAAGTCCTTGAGGTGAAAAGAAAATGACTTTACAGGCAGCACCTCCTTTAAGAAGTTCATGCTGAAACTAGGAGGAGATAATAGAGATTACTCCGAGATGGCGGACGTGCACAACGAGGAGAAGCATCCAATTTTAAAGTTAGTCACACTTCACACAAAGTTAATCACACTTCATACTAAGTTAATCACACTTTGCCCAATGTTAATCACACACTTCACACAGTATTAATCACACTTCACACAATGTTAGTCACACTTCACACAATGTTAGTCACACTTCGCATAAAGTTAATCACACTTCACACAATTTTGATCACACACTTCACACAATATTAATCACACTTCACACAAAGTTAATCACACTTCACACAATGTTAGTCACAATTTGCATAAAGTTAATCACACTTCACACAATGTTAGTCACACTTCGCACAATACTACTCAGTTTAAACTCCCTCTCTTTAGAAACCTGTGGGAAGAACCGCTGGAGTTCCAAGAGGAAGCTCTGAGAACCTACTACAAAGTAACATTCGTCAGAAACCCTTTAGTTCGTCTTGTGAGCGGGTACAGGAACAAAATAGTCCGGATTCCTCAGGGGGCTTACGCGGCCCATATACAGGTATTATTATATTAAAAGATAAGATATTGATTCAAATAGCAGGATTGTCTACGTTTTGAGCTAGGGTCCAAAGCAAAAAAAAACAACATACCTGGCTTAACCGGTGATACTCGTAAATTATTTGTTCCAAATATTAACCGTCGATGAGTCTAACTCGGCGAGCGTCTTGGTAAGTTATTAACGTTATTCATATATTATAAGTTATTAACCTACAAAAACTTGCAGGAGATTATTGCTCACAACTACGGAGCGGATAAGGCCCTGAGCTGGTTTGCAAGGAAACCTTATCGTCCCTCATTCGAACAGTTTGTAGAGTACCTTATCTACACGGGAAACGGTAATTAATTTAATTAACTGATTAACTGTCTAGTTAATTGACTTGTCTGATTAATAACAATATGATGATGATATTCGTTTTATAACTTTCTATCATAAACGAATGTTCTGAGAAAACTGATTTTAATGTATTCAAAAACAATTTTATTTGAAAAACAAATGTTAAGTATAATTGAAACTAATATATTAATATTAGTTTCTCAACACTAATATTTGAGAAACTAATATTAAGTAATTAAAAGTATTCGGCAGCTAGAGAAAACTATAATATTAGGTGATTAAAACTATTTGGCAGCTAGAGAGAACTAATATTAAGTAATTAAAACAATTTGGCAGCTAGAGAGAACTACCATTGGGCTCCGTATGCAGACTATATAGGGCTATGTGGCTCAACAGTTAAGTACGATCTTATCGCACAGCTCGAAACAGCTCATCAACATATAGAGGAGATGAAGGAGATGGTAAGTTGGTTTACACGTTTAGATCTAGGGTGAAATACTGAATTTTTGAACCAAGTTTACACTAATTACTAATTACTAATTACTAATTACTAATTACTAATTACTAATTACCAATTACTAATTACTAATTACTATTTACAGGTACCGAGTTTAAAGGATATTCCCTTTCCGCCGAGTAGAACTGAGAAAGCAGTGGATGAGTACAGCTCTGAGGAAGTGACAGCCCTGGCTTTCTCAAACCTGACAGAAACACTGAAAACAGGCGTTTATAAGCTCTACGAGAAAGAAATTAAATTGTTGGGCTATTCACTGATGGACGATCAAAACTTTCCCTTTCTCACATCAGCAACTGTTCATTTAGAGGATGTATAATTAGTATAATTTATTAAAGCATTCAATTTTATTTTTTAAATGTACCATTAAAAGTAACATGATCATTGTTGTGAAGGTATTTTAGAAGGATTTTAATGTAATTAATAATTTATTCGAGCGTGCTAAATCAAGCTCTATAACAGTCGATCTTCGAGATTGTTCTAAAAGGGCCCCCGACAATTAAAACCACCTCGAATTGATGTATTTCGGACGCTGATTCCGAATCACCCCCAATCCCCATGACATAGGGTTAAAATGCTCCCCATGCGAGATCTTGGCGAAAAACTGTATCGATCACGTGATATGACCGTATAAGGAAGTTAGTCTAATTTCTCGTTAGGGTAAAAGACTAGCAAGCTAGGTAAATGTCAAAGACGTACTGTGATGAACACTGTATCTTAAACTTATTATTTAAATGCTGCATTGGGATACTTGTTCATTGACGATTTTTAGTTGTCTAAGATTTTGAAATCGAATGAAAAATAGAAAGGGCGAATGTATCATGCAAAATAGTTTTAAAATCTAACACTTATTTTATAGGATTTTTATTCATAACACAATGATATAGTCACTGAAACATTTGAACATGCAGTTTAACAAGTTATGATCTTTGTAGCTCAAACATCAAAGGATACATCCAAAAATTTGCATATTGTAGCCAATAATACACTTAAATATACTGTACTAAAGTAAGTTAGATATTGTAAGTAAGTTATACCAATTTTTGTATGTTGTTTTTTATCTGATACCTATTCACCATTTGAGAAATAAAACTTAAAGTTATAAACCTTCATTGTACTTTACCGGTAGAGTCTAAATTAAATAGTTTGAGATTTCCTTTACATTATATATTTATGCATGTGCCCCACGGGGATGAATTTCTTATTACCATTTATATTATATATATTTGTTTGAGTAAACATTGGCTGGTACCACGGGCCAGTCCCCAACAAAAAAAAGTTTCAATTGTTTTACTTTTATAGTATCTTACATAATACAAACAACAAAGGCAGCAAGTATTTAGTTTAATTTCTAAAAGTTTATTATCATTAGATGGCTAAGTACATAGTACATACGTGCAATTATCGAAATATCAAATTTATAGATTTGAGGCCTTGTCCATCCATTTTTGACCAATTTCCGACCAAAACCTCGATTTACCGCAAACCCCGATTTACCGCAGTGCGCAGGTTTTGTCTTTCCGGTAAATCGAGGTTTTATTGTATTAATTACAACATTGAGCTACACACCATTAACACACCATGAGCAGTGTCGTCTTTAAAAATAGAACGCTGGTACTTGTCAACTCTTGTTCCACAAAATACCATTCCTGGTTGACATTTAGTAGGCCCCACCCACTACCCCACCTGTGCTGCAGATCAGACAAATACCGTTATATCCCCACCTCCTATTAAAAAAAGAAGCAGGCTCCACCTTCTGTTTGAAAGAAGTTGTGAACCCCCCCCCCCCTCCCCCCCCCCCCCCCCCCCAGAAGTTTGAACTTGAGGTCAGAGGAGCTGTGAGAAATGGCTGAATTTACCGTATTTAGTTCCAACATTCCTCCTTGTTTACCTACTTGTCTCTTGTCATACGTTGTATGACCCGCCTGTATCGTTGAAACTCTACAGTGAGACTACAGCTTGTATTATTGAGACTATCGTTGAAACTACTATAGTGAAGCGACAGTGGGGGTCACCACGTGATACAACTTTTCTCAAGATATAGTAGTCTCGTAGTTAAACTATGCTGCACTGTTATAAAATTTAAACCGCCCCCTTTCTCAAGATATAGTAGTCTCGTAGTTAAACTATGCTGCACTGTATTAAAATTTAAACCGCCCCTAAAATGTTAAGAATTGCTATTTTTAATGCACTCGTACAGTCGCATCTCTCCTATGGGATAACGGTTTGGGGAAGCAGCACAGCAACTAATAAGTTGAATAAACTTTTTATCAATCAAAAAAGGCATTAAGAAATGTGTTCGGGATTCGCAGAGTTAACAAACATCAGCAAGGAAATACGAAGCGTGTTTTCAGTGAAAACAAAGTGCTTACCGTGTATGGACTTTATCATAAATTTATTCTCACTGAGGGATTTCAGGTAGTGCATGCTGGTGGTTACCCAACGTTACTAAGAAAACACTTTCAAACTTCAGCTGTTAACGATAAACGGCTTATTTGTCCTAGAGTGTATTATAAAGATAATATGCACAACATGTTATACGCTGTTCCCAGAATCTGGAATGCTGTTAACAACTCAAGTTATCTCACTAGAAATATTACCACAATTTCATCCTTCAAGAACAATATTAAGCAGTTCATTCTCATGTACCAATCTAATGGTTCAAATAACACATGGGAACCATCCAATCTTGATGCGCAAACATTTTTTGTCACTGCATCTAAGAACCCCGAGTCATACTCAGTTACACGTTAACACCATGCATGTTGTTACCATATTGCATGTTTTTGATATTTTGGCATGTGACTGCATGTACATTTACATGTTCAAATTGGACATTTTTTAGATTCTTATTCAAGCTGGGTAATTCCGACTGCATGTGCATGTTCATGTTCAATTTGTGACAATTCTTATTCAGTGTGTGTGATCATTTGAGCTGCGTTTTTAGCTGTTTTACCTTGCTTAATGTTCTATTTTGAATCTTAAATTACCCCCTGAGGGGCATAGCTCCAACACTTCCCCTCATTAAACGCCCCGTTTCTTTACTATGTGGGGGTTTGATAACCCCCCCCCCCCCCCCCCCCCCCATTTTCCGTAACCTTATTTCAGCAGCTTTTCTCACTTGGTGTCGCACAGTACATGTATTGTGCGACACCGGGTGAGAAGAGTCAAACGGGGTTCGAGATGCTCGGGTTTAAGATCACCAGATTACCTGATCTTACTGGAAGTCACAACTTTGACACTACACCTAAAGCATGGACGCATACGGGAAAACTCTCTGCATCCTGATGCTGACTATTCCCTCATCTTTCTCACTGATAGCAAATTTATCCCTACTCTGCTATTACTACTAAGTTACTGCCTACTACTCTAGTTACCCTGTCTTGACTACCTTTTGATTGGGTAGCTAGTTGAACTTTATTATTTTATTATGGACACATTGGATCTCTGTTAATAACAATTTTTGACATCTGTTGTAATACAGTAATGTATGTGATTTTCGCGTTTTTCCTCATTTATTCTGATCATGGATATTGATTGATACTAAGATTTTCACATTTATGAGAGTTTTTGAATTTTGGTCGCGTAATTTTGATTTTATTTGATTTTTGAACAAAATCTTTATTTAATTAGATTTCACTTTTTTTGTTGACCAGTGGCTTACAAGCTTCTGGGTCCTGTTTTGAATTTTTTTGAGTGGATTGTTAGGGCCCTGGCATTTGCCGACAAAGCGGTTTTTATTTTTATGTTTTATAATCCTGTTGATTTGTATATACCGTTTTGAAAATTTTTCAAATCTAATCTAATCTAATCTATACTCTTATCGAGGTTCATAGATAAGAGAATAGTTTCTAAACTATTATCTTATCTATGAACCTTGATAAGAGGTACATAGATAGGAGTATGTTTTATTTTTGATATACAAGTAAATTGCAATATTTTGCACCTCTAAGAGAAATAAAACTCAATATTCAATGTAACTTTTAAAAACTATATGGTCATTTATTAATATATGTTTTTTAAAGCTTCGGTTACTAAAACGTATAGTATCAGTAATAATATGTATTATAACAATAAGAATAACATCGCTTTATAGCCGAAAAGAACTAAAAAGTTAAAGATTCGGTTTAAGCCATTTTGATCTATTATATACTCTTAATACTTATATATACTCTTTGTTAGAGCTTTCGCTGACGTTGAGGTGGAAAAAACAAGCCAATATCGAGTTTTGTAGCCACAATTGCCCCGGAATAAAACAGTAAAGGATCACAAGATAGTTAAGTGTCATCAAACAAATGATACGACGTATTCCAGGGTGATCTGCTGAAGACTCAACTAGTTTCGGCCTTTGAGGGCCATCCACAGGAGTGTCACCTAGCAGAAGTCAAAAATTTAATAAACTGATATCAGAAGAATATGTCGTATTAGTAAACATACGGTTAATTAATCTGAAAATCCATTGTAAAGTTACAAACTCATGGGGCAGAAAAAGAAACAAAGAGTAAACTCGGTGTACAAAAGTGAGAGCTAGGAAGCGGAAAATATAGCCGTATACCCAGTGATAGAACGTGAGGTGTGACCTGAACCAAAGATAACATTAATTGCCACTGACCTTGCTCCTATTTAAACCAATTATCCTGGCTTTAAATCTCTCGATAAACATATCCTCAAACATGTTCAGGTCATCTCTATTGCATTTACGGATAATCCCAAAGTTAAAACTAGAAAGTTTATCATCTAACATTTCATAATGCACATCGTGAATGTGCAGAGCTAATGATGACTTATTATAATGTTCTGGTTTGAAAGCTGCTCTGTGGTTATTCATGCGTATATTGAGGGGTAGCCATGTCTGGCCAAAATAGAAGCCGCTTGAACATAACTTACATTGAGCTACGTATATAACATTCCCATCACTACAATTTAAACTCATATCTAGTTCACATATCTGATTGTTAACAATAAATTTCCCATCAGCGTTGTTTTCCGTGAGTTTGCAAGTCAGGCATCTTGGTCTTTTACATGCTTGTGATGAGGTGTTGTTGTCTCTTCTAGACTGTTTCACGTATTCTGCTGGTGTAGTGGCGAATTTTCTTCGTTTGAAGAGTTGGTCACTTATGTTACTGCCTCTTCTATTTGCGATAGTGATGGATACGTTCTCACCAATTATGTGTTCGATAGTCTGTTTCTTAGATTCTAGGAACATTCTGAGGTCTTTTAGTTCTTTGCAGTATTGGGCAGATAGTATCAAATTAGTAGAGGTTTCCTCCTTTTTCTCTACATCCGTTTTCTTAGGTTTCAGACGTTCATTCCTATCTACCAAATTCACCTTTTCTAGGACAATCTTAAGTTCCTGCTCATCATAGCCACTTTTCTTCAGGTCCGAAATTATGTCTTTAGCTGCTTTATCAAATGCTTTCTCGTCTGAGCATATGGTTCTTGCTCGTAGTAGTTGTGAATACGGGACGCTTTTGAATACATGAGGAGGGTGGTAGCTATTCCTTTGTAAAAATGATCTGTTATCTGTTGGTTTCTGGTATAATGATGTCGCTATACCGAAAGTCCCATTCTCTGACTGCCTTATTTTAACTAAAACATCCAGGAAGCTAAGTTCCCTGCCTATTTCCTCAGTGAATTCTATCCCATATGCTGCAGCTTTACTATTGAGTAGTTTGACAAAATCGTAGAACTCTTCTTCTGTCCCTGACCATATACCAAAAATATCGTCGATGTAACGTTTCCAGAGTTTAACAAATAAGTCCCAGTTGTCGATGTTCTCTTTTAGGAAAATCTTCAAAAATTTCAGAAATGTATCTGCTAAAGGTCTTGAGATCGAACCGCCTGTTGGAACACCTTTGATGGCTCTGAAAAACTCTCCTCTGTATTCTAGTGTCGAGTTCTGTAGACAAAAGTTGATACTTGTCATCATGCCTGATTTGATGTTTGGGGCGAGCGTTGTATCTTCTTCTAGTGCTGCATTAACCGACTGTCGGACGATATCCTGCCTCATACTAGGATATAGGGACCTTTACTGATAGTT